TCATTTTTTAATCCACATTATTATTCATTCCAAGTTTTCACGGGATATTATTGAAATCGGTGCACATGTAACGCGAAGTAAAATTTGTTTAGCATATTTGACTTACGATTTCGAGTTGAAAGAACAGTCGCAAAGAAACAATCCAGATTTTAAATTAAATAACGGAATATTGAAAATATATTCGATCAATTTGATGCAGCCAATTTTTACAAAGAAATTTTTTTTATCAACTTCTTTTATTGTGTACTCTTCGATCCGATCGGCCGCTCGCTTACTCGAATTAAACGTAATATTTGTCGATTATGATAAATCGACAATGGAAAGAGTTTTTTCTCTTTCCTGCTGGTTTCTGGTCGAAATGTGACCAGATGATATGGCCAGGAGCGACAAAAGGTAGGTCCAATCTGGTCCAACGAAAGAAGAATGCATTCAACGTGGTCCTTATTGACCACAAAGAATTATGCTAATATATGTATAAAATAATTTTTTTTTCAAAAGTCGGGTGGGTCTTTCTTCTCCATATTTTCTCGCGTATATGCGAGATTCGAAAATTTTTAATTAAATCTCAATCGCGCGCGAGTTAAAACCACAAATCGTATCCTTAATAAAATCGCGTCGCGGTTTTAATTAACAATTTGCAGATATGCTAGGCTTTAACACAGGCACGTAATAAAACGGATAGATAGAATTATAAATTGGTATACGGGTAGGTAGGGATTCGGGTAGGCAGGAATAGGGGGATATAATTTGATATTTTCGTTATAGACAAAATAATAATACAAACTAAATGTAATAATAATAAATACAAATATAAATATCTTATATACTTGTAAAGTACATTGTAATGTACTTTCTTTTTCTTTTATAATATTACAAAGTTATGTCGCGAGAAAAATTAAGTAATGGTAAGAGGAAAAAGATTATTGCAAAAAAGAGGACCGCCGATAGAAATTGGCGGGGGTGGTGGAGGGCCTCTATAATACTCTGTTCAAGTCACTCAGTGGATCATCACTGAAAAGTAGTGAATAGTTACTGATGGTCATAGTTATGCGAATCGTAATATATTTATAACTATTATATCAAACTGAATAATAAAAAAGTTAAAAATAGCATTGTAAAAAAGGGGACCGCCGGTTGGAATCGGCGGATGGAGGGCCTCTTTAGATTGACCTGTCTATATCGAATAAATTTTTTAATTTGATTCATTATGAGTAGAATCATAATGAAAAATAAAGAAATTGAGTTTAAAGAGAAGAATATTACATGCTGAGTTCGTCCAAAAATTCCCCAACAAATAAAATAGACGAAAGAGTGAGAAAATGTGTTGGAAAAGTTGAATACAATCTCGCGCTAATGCGGATGCAGGTGAAGTTGGCATATCATTTCCCAGCAGATCAAAAATAAAATGGAGTTCTTATCGCATGCAGTCGAGTTCTGTAGTTCTTGATACTTTTTAATAATAGTTCTGTTGATTTTATACAAAAAACAGCCGATAGAAAAAAAGATGTATTTTTTATCATAACACTAAGACGCTGACGGATTTTCGATAGTTCTACGAGTTCTAAACTATTTCTCGTGTAGTTCTGAACACATTTATTCATTTTTCAAAGAATTTTAGGCAGTGGCAAGTCTCTGTTACTTTTTAATAAATCATAATCACCGAAGAACACCTTTCTAAGCAGATAAGTGTGCTCTGCTGATCGCAAAGTCGGAGTTCCGGTCCTTCTAAAATATTTCTCCTATAGCTCTGAATATATATATTCATTTTCCGAAGAGTTCTAGGCACTGGCACGTCTCCGTTACTTTTTCAAAAATTCATAATCCCCGAAGAACACCTTTCTAAGCAGACAAGTGTGCTCTGCTGGTCGGCAAGTTGTAGTTCCGGTTCTTCTAAAATATTTCTCCTATAGCTCTGAATATATATTCATTTTCCGAAGAGTTCTAGGCAGGGGCAAGTCTCCGTTACTTTTAATAAATTCATAATCTCCGAAAAATCCATTTCTAAGCAGTAACGGTACAAAGTACAAAGTATCGGAGACTTGCCACTGTCTAAAACTCTTTTGAAAATGAATCAATATATGCAAAACTATACGAAAAATATTTTAGAAGGACCGGTACCCCGACTTTCCGAGCAGCAGAGCACACTTATCTGCTTAAAAATGAATTTTTCGGGGATTATGAATTATTAAAAAGTAACAGAGACATGCCACTGCCTAAAATTCTTTGAAAACTGAATAAATGTGTTCAGAACTACACGAGAAATAGTTTAGAACCCGTAGAACTATCGAAAATCCGTCAGCGTCTCAGTGTTATTATAAATACATCTTTTTTTTCTATCGGCTGTTTTTTGTATAAAATCGCCAGAACTATTATTAAAAAGTATCAGGAACTATAGAACTCGACTGCATGCGATAAGAACTCCATTTTATTTTTGATCTGCTAGAAAATGATCTGCTAACTTCCCGTAGCAGATCATTTTTTCGATCGACTGTTTTTTGGTTTAAATCAACAGAACTATTATTAAAAAGTATCAAGAACTACAGAACTCGACTGCGTGCGATAAGAATTCCACTTTATTTTTGATCTGCTGGGAAATGATATGCCAACTTCACAGGCATTTCGAATTTCTGATGATGCCTGTGAAGTTGGCATATCATTTCCCAGCAGATCAAAAATAAAGTGGAGTTCTTATCGCATGCAGTCGAGTTCTATAGTTCTTGATACTTTTTAATAATAGTTCTGTTGATTTTATACAAAAAACAGCCGATAGAAAAAAAAGATGTATTTTTTATCATAACACTAAGACGCTGACGGATTTTCGATAGTTCTACGAGTTCTAAACTATTTCTCGTGTAGTTCTGAACACATTTATTCATTTTTCAAAGAATTTTAGGCAGTGGCAAGTCTCTGTTACTTTTTAATAAATCATAATCCCCGAAGAACACCTTTCTAAGCAGATAAGTGTGCTCTGCTGGCTGCGTTCGGCAGGAAAAGCTGCTTTGCAACTGTTGTAAAATTCGTGAATCTGATCGGTGTGTTCTCTCAATCTTGTGTGAATTTAAGAGCATACGCCAATCAGATTCATGAATTTTACAACAGTTGCAAAGCAGCTTTTTCTGCCGAACGTAGCCATTGACATGCCGCTTCTCGATAAATTTCGGAACTCACCGATATCGAGTTATTCGCGAGCGCCTGCGCAGGGACGCACTACGATGGTCATTGAAGTTGCGCAAAGTTGCGTACATATGTACATACATACATAATGAAAAAAGATTAGATATACATATACATAGATACATAAAGAAAAAGATATTTAATAATCGGGGAGAATCTCTTGGTACGAATTTTAATAATAATGTTAGCAGCAGCTGGTTTAATTAAGAAAAATTCCTAGTAATGTGTTGTCAGCGAAAGCTACTTTTTAATAGTAGCATAGAGAAATCTTAAAGCGGCCACGTCGGCATTTTACTTGATACCGTTTCACGAACCTTTTTTGCGCGCCCTTACGCCCATTTTTACTTTTGGAACTATTTTGCTATGCATTTTCTGGACACTGCCGATAAAGTCTCCCCTTTGTGCGTGTCCGCGCTACACCTATTTTTCAGGATTGTGCTGTGTTAGTATAATTTCAAAATTATACTAACATAAATTTTCTACATGATACTTACATAAACTTTTTTCATGTAGTCAATGTAAATTTTATAAATTAGATGTCAGAATGCACAGCACAGACATACACCAAGTGGACATTTTATCGGTAGAGTCGGGAAATTCGTAATGCCCATTCTACACCTAGGGATGATTCTACTTTTACCACATCCGATACCCCTTCTATACCTAAAGCTAATCCTACTTGCAGCTTATCCGAGGGAGTAGTATAAAGTGTAAAAGGGTACACTGTAGTTGTACTTTGGTACGATTGGAAACCAACCAAAGTGTAAACCTTTTACACTTTATACTACTCCCTCGGATAAGCTGCAAGTAGGATTAGCTTTAGGTATAGAAGGGGTATCGGATGAGCCACAAGTAGGATCATCCCTAGGTGTAGAATGGGCATAATAAAATAGTTCCAAAAGTAAAAATAGTCGTAAGGACACGCGAAATAGTCTCCTAAAATGGTATCAAGTAAACTGACGGCGTGGCCGCTCTCAGGTTTCTTTCTGAGAGTAGTAAAAAATTTCCAAACTTACGATTTTGTTAGTGTGAACATTTGTCAAGTCTTTCGCGGTGCGTTTCTTGCATATTCTATGTTATCTAAATTTTCTATTCTACATTATTTAAATTTTAATTTTTGTAATTTATACTTCTGACACTTTGCTTATTATTTATTTTAAATTGCTTATTAACGTACTGATGGAGACACTGTGATGTCGAAACGTATGCTATTTTGTTTTTAATTATACAAATATATTCTAGTCTTAATTCGCCACCTAAAGCTGCTCGTCATTATTATTGGCCTTTAGTTATTTGTTATAAAGGTTGTTCTTTATTACAAATATCTATAGACAAAGTTAGTAAAAATACGAGTTTTCGAAAAATTTTTCTCGCGTCGCGGAGACAAGATTTTCCGAGGGTCTCCAAATTTCGGTTTGACGCCAAACAAAATACGCGCGCGCGAGGATCGATAACCATCGATTGTCCCGTCGTGCCTTGCGCGGGCAACTTCGCGGCAGTGATGTCGGACTGGTCGCGTTTTTCGCGCATGCACGACAGTAACCAGCGACGTATCGGTAATACCGTATAACGGGAACATATATGAGACTTGAATTAATCTATTTTATATATTAAAATACGTAATATATTAATTTACATACTTATATTATGTACAAGCAAAAAGATGTGTGGCTGTCAAAAAGGCCTCTTGTCCGTAAAAAAAATTTTTTTTCAAATTTTCTCCAAGAAAATTTCTTACGGGCGACCAGCGGTACACCTATTTGTCCGTAGTAGGTGCTTCAGTGAGCCCCAAGTCAAAGCGCGTGCGCCAAAAGCGCGACCAATCCGACATCACTGGTTCGCGGTGCGGTAACTGCGCACACCACGCGCACCCGTTCTTCCCGAGAATGTCGAGCGTGTCTAAAGTCACTTTCGGCCTGTGTTGTATGTCGTCCGTCGGAATAATAGGCTACGTGCATTTCAAGCAGTCCTACGACAGGTAGGCGTCCGCGTCGCGACCCGGCGCGTTTCGACGTTTCTCCCGCGTGACTTACGAGCGGCGTCGCGAATCCGTTTTCAGGGAGCAGCTGCACCTCGGTGTGATACGCGACATCGAGCGACGGGAACGGCGCAAGGCCGAAAATGTCTACATCCTGCAGCAGCAGGCCGAGCTAACCAAGGAATTGCGCAGAGGGGAGGCTTTGTCCGAGACGCAATAACGGCTGACACGCGCGACTGTCAGTCCGCCGCTCAGAGGATCCTCCTTAGGGATGAGAGAGAGAGAGAGAGCGCCGTGTGTAAAGTATTCCGCGCGGTCATTTCGCTCCATTTTGTATGCGCGTCGAGTAGCCGCTGAAGCGTCCTCCTCTGGGAACACTTGAGTAAAATTTACAGCTTTCGCGCGAGCGTTATGGCTACCGACAAAGCGACGGATCAACCGGGTGAGTTTGCAGCCTCGTCTTGCGAAGCGAAAGCGCACACGCGCCTTCGCCGTTTCGCGATGTATTCTTGCTCTATACATTGAGGTTATAATCATACATGATACATCAAGCGTATCGACGATATTTCTTTTTAAGGATTTTTATTTATTCCTTTGTAGCCAATATCTTTTTATTGTATGTATAATCATATTGGTTGTTATATTATGCGCTAATTTTCGAGAGAGAAGAGTCAAAGGTGTCTCTTGATTTGCCGCCGCAAAGTTTCGCTATACGTTTAAAATGTTGCGTTACATTTTAGTCCCGTCATTTATCCATTTGTTGATCCTTTGTTCTCGTACAAAATGGAAGATTTAAGTTTGCTTAATTTCTTGTATCGTACATAAAGTGTGTCGTACGAGTTGACTTCTGTACTCGTAAAGTCTGTATTTTACACTTTGTTCAGTTAGACTTGAAGCTGCGCAAACGTACGTTAGATAATACTATAGGGGGAGAAAATGATGCAAGTGCAAAGTTGAAGTGGCTAATTCTCGTTTTATAGATTTGTCTTGCTTAGAGGAGAGTCTCATGAGTCTAGAGAAATTGGATAGGGCGTCACCCGATCTGTGGCCTGAGCAGAGTGAGTACATTTTACAAGGATCAGTTATGAGTCATGTATCACACAATACATCATATATGTAGCGAGCAATGAAGTTCCAGGTGTACATGAGTTCGTTGCTCAAAATTCACCGCAGACAGAACCATGTTTTTGGGCTGCGATGTCGCAGGATGACATAAGCCATGTGCATCGTGAGTTGGATATGCATTAACATACAATTCTTCATCCTGTTGCTAAATATCGTAAAATATTTTCTTGCAGAACTGGGTAATTTGTCAATGACCGGGCTTATCTCGGAAGTGAAAAGACTGCACGATTTAGCTTATCAACTGGGTCTAGAAGAGGCTAAGGAAATGACGCGCGGCAAATATTTGAATATATTTAAACATAAATAACCTATTTTGGATTTACCAAAAACCAAAAAAAAAGAATAAAACTTGTGAAAATGCAATGCTATGATCGGTACTCATTAAGACACGTTTTGGGACGTTTCTATATATTTTTTGCATCCTTAAGAATTCTCTAAGATCCACCTTGTGTATCTCTGTACATTTACAAATGCAGACGGAAAAATTGTGCTTGAGTCACAACTAGACCCAAATGATAGGATTCCAACCTGAGTAAAAAAAAAGGAAAACATAAATATGTGAACTACATCTGTAGTATATATGTAAATATTTATGTTGATAACGTACCAGGAAGTATGTGTCCGCATATTTGTATAACAGAGGACTACCGCTGTAACCTGAACAAGGTTCACAGTTGCCTTTGGCGCATAATTCCACTGATAGAGCTTGGCTTATATAGTCCGAGCACTGCTGCTTAGGTACGAGTTCTAGTTGTAATGACTGTTGCGTCAGTGGTTGCGCTGGATCACAGGGTTACAGCACTTGAACGTTACATAAACACAGCTTACAGTTTTACGCTTTACGATAGTTTGTTCTATTAATACAATACCTTTTTGACCTGACAATTCTCCCCAGCCGACAACAGTGCATGTACTTCCTAGGCTGACGTATCTGTCCTCCGGTATAAAGCAGATTGGTTGAGCTGTGGCTGAAGAAGACCGGACATATTGCATTTTCATTGAGGCCGTGATTGTCACAGTGTCTTCGACACGTGTACATTTAAGAATTGTACATACCTGTATAATCGATCGCCTTCTTCAAGCGAAGCAAGGCGATGTTGTTGGAAAAACTTGCGGCGTTGTAGCCCGGATGTTTAACTACATACGATATGTCGTGGCTACTGGTATTGCGCCCGCAAAGCAAATTATTGCAATCTGGATTCGACTCTGTATTATATTCACCAATAAGCACAGAGCATCTGAATAACGAACGAGGTTTATTGTAATTACTGCATGCTATAACAACTCAATGCTGTGATACGATCGAAAATCTGAGCAACGATCATTCGTTATATTTTATTTTCGACTGCTATATACGTACAATTTGTATCTGTCCGATTTCGCGAGTGCGCATGTAGCTGTAGTCAATACAGTACGCTCATTAACAATCACGCCATTGCACGAGTATTTGATTTCACCCGTTAATGTATCTGAAAGCGAATTCTTGCTAACAGTCTGAAAGCGCATGTCTTATATAATAAAAGAGATATAGCTAACTTTCTCTCTCTCTCATATCCTTCGTATAAACAAAATTGTACATAATTTGTTATATACATGATGCCGCAGAAGTTTTCTGCCTTGTACGTTTAAATTTCGAACTAGCTGTCGGTGAAAAAAAGCGACGACTCTTGGACGCAGCATTTTAACTTCAACATTGTAGTTGAGTTATAATTGGCGGTTTTTCTGGGACATCCTGTATATTATGCAACTTCTATACAATACAAGCACTTCTGTATATACGTAAAGCAAAGTACTTGCTTATAAAACCGATTCTTGCGACAAAAGGATACGATCCTAAAGTGTCTACGTTGTTCCGAACGATACTCTTGCCGCACTGAAAGTTTAAAGTTGGTTGCGTCGGATATGCACTCAGATTTCTATCTGGATACGTCGGCCGTTCGGTATAACTGTCGACGCTACAGCAAATCTTTATGCGTGTTCGGTCGTACCCGCATACAGCCTGTCGTAATCTGCGTAAAAAAATTACGTTTATGTGTGTGTGTGTGAGAGCGCGCGCGTGTGTGTGTATATATGTACACTCGTCTGTTCAACTTGAAAAAAAAGAGACGACCACGTTACCTGTGAGCGGAAAGCGCGTTTCTATCCATTAGGGATACAACCGCCGGGCAGTACTCGATGAACGAACACTTCTGTTCACTGGGACAAGAAAGAGAATTATTCTGGCACGTATTATACTGATACCAGGGGTACTCGCACAGCTCCGAAGTTACGATCGGCAGTAGAAGTAGGAATAATAGGCAGCACATTTTTCGAGTATAAATGCAAACGTGACGGTGCACACTCTTGAGGCTAAAAATTTGGTAGTTTCGTATGAGCGGAGACCTCAACGTCGACAGTCGACTTTGAGAAGCGAAATTTAATTAACAATTGAAACGATCCTTTTCATGAAAGGAATCTGCAAGGTCGGTCGACTTTTTAAAGAGATGTTATCGGTCTCTCTCGGATCCCTTTTCTCGAGCGCTCTGTGCTTTTCGTGTAGAGACGCGACGGATTAATGCAGACCGATCTCGTAGTCCGTTTCGCATTCGCGACCAACATCGTCTGTACCGGATGATGAACTGATTTCGTTGCATCGCGCACCTGTATGCGACAGACAATTTCGTTTCTCTCGGTTACCTTGACTAGAGCATTATTCGCACATCCGGCGGAACTGTGATGATCACGCGAAAAGTACACGTATTATGCGATTAATGCGTGAAACTGTGTTACGCTTTACTTTGTTAGGTTTCTTGAGAAGGCAACAAATTTAATCACTTCTGTATAAGCTATATTGTCAATTAGCTAAAGTAGCTAATAACAATGAAATTGATTACTTTCTTAAGCGCTGCGATGAGTTTACACGGCGCGTAAATATTATTCAATGAGTTATACAAATTAATAGAAAGTATTTTGTCCTTATATTTCCACGAAAGTAACGGAAAAATGAAAAATGAACACCCCATAAAATATTTACATTTTTATTAGACATTGTCTAATTGCGTGGGCCATTTTCTGTATAAAATTTATTCGTATAACACGTAATTATTGGTAAAATCATAGAAGCAAAGTAATAAATTATTAAGTACTATTTGTATAAAAATTGCTTTGCTGTTCGGGCATACTGAATTAATGGTGCATTATCGGACTTTGGTTTGTACGTTTCTTCAATTCTCGTGCGAATAGGAAATATGGAAGGTCTTAACAATGTGAATTTCGCCTCTCGTTCCACTCGATCGCGGCCTCGATGATGCCGGACGATCGGACGAAGTCGACGGCGACGATATTGGCGGTGCGTTGCCACTTGCTGTTGTACCAATTCGTAACGTTGATATTAACTTTCTCCGCCATTTGGCGGATACCTCCAAGCCGGTTTAAGATTACGTCCCATGTGTTAGGCGTCAACTCCGCCATCGCCGACCTTGGTATCGATCTAGGGTGTCTGAAACGTGAACCGTCAGATTGGCATAATTATTGTCCGAGCTATCATATGCTATGTTCATGCTGCACTGAAAGCAAAACTAAATACTTTTTTTAATACAATAGCGCTCCCATTGCTATCAATTGGGGGCTCCGTTATAAACTTAATCGGTCTAGCCATTTTTGAGATCGTACGAATTAACGAGCGGCTCGGACTGGGTATAGATACTCGGTCAGTTTGCCGCGTGTACACTTGACGCGAGACACGATCGTCTCTCTTGATTAGCGAAAGTGCTTATAAAACTAAGAGTGGGTATATAATGAAAAGAGTGATCTTGAATAGCTAAGGGTGGCTTGATGTCAGCTTTGTATGAGATGCGCATACCCGACACTTTCCGTCTCGATGCGATTCAGATGATCGAACAAGTCTTCGATAGTCCTGACGTTTCCCCACTGATGAGTCACGCAGGGCCACACGCTTTCGTAGCGATTGACAACTCGTCTCTCATCATAGCCGATGATAAGTCTTTTCCCGGACGACCAGATCGTATTCAGCGTACTGGTCCACCCATAGCTCTTCGGCACGTAGTACCTGGCGAATTGTTCTTCGAGGAATCTGACGAAGTCGTGATGTACCGCCAGATTCTTGCCAAAACCTAGCAACACCATCGGCACATATTTTCACATCAACGACAAAAGTCTACTATTTAAAAGGCCTAAGCTACGAGTTGCATAATCTTGCTAGCGTTACTGTCATTATTGACAAAAAAAAGCGGTAAATCGCGCTATGAGATGATGTTTGCGTATTTTATATCTTGCTACAATATTCTTAATCCGTTGCCCGAGCAATACGAGGCATTCGACAAAAAGATTGTCTTTGGGATTGTCAGCTGATAAGCAGGACATCTTACAATTAGTGTGACGCAACTTTTGCACGTGTCACGAACGGTCTTGTAATTGATCCGCTAATTCTCGCCAGTATTTTGTTGCGTTATATAGAGTTCCACATTAACTTGATAATCTTTCGAATCGGTACACTTTGTTTAGCGTGAGAATATCGCAAACTGCATCCGAGTGCAACGGTATTTTTATGTATTTTAAAGAGCACGATAAGAAACGTTGTATGGCTCTATTTTTGCCTGGCCAAGAACCGCCGAGTGCCTCAACGCTAAATTGTATTACCGACTGGGAACTCCTGGATGTCGAATATCACGATCTCGTTCGTGTGGTCGAGGAAGGCCTTCACCTGGTTTACGACGGTCTGCATGGGAACAGACTTGACTACCCCGTGATTCGCCCACCATACCGAGTTTGTGTTGGGATAGTGTCCGACTCGGATATCGAGATATCGGACCCCGTAGATCAGTTGCGCGAGCACGTCCACATCCTGCAGTTTAATTATCCTAACGATTACCAGCAACGGTTATTCTTTATTTAATTCTTATCCGACTTTAATGCGTATATAGGCTCTCTTTAACGTCGCTCAAACATTTTTCCGTCGAATACTCGAGCCGGACAAGCGTTTTACGCGAATCGAAAGGAAATCTACTTGAATTAATCGAAAGGGCACCGTGGAAATCTCTTTAGTAGCCGCGCATTTATTAAAATACTTTCGACTCGGCGTTGTCGCAGCGAGATTACTTTGCGAGAAATTATCTGGCTTATCCACGCAAATATTCCACTCTCTGCTGTTAATTCGGAATTTACCTGCGTTATCACGTATCTCTCGACGATATTCTCGGAATTTGCCCGCTCGTGTGTCGCATACGATGCAGAGTCGTGCGTGCCGGGCAGGAACACTCTGCTCAACGGCAGCGACCCTAAGATGGCCCTCCTCTCCGTCATCCAGCGAGGCTGCGTTTGCAGACAATTAGTCAGTCTTACCGTGCCGTTTCTCAGCCAGGCGACATGGTACTCTATTAAAGCGAAATTCCGTTTTAAGATTGGATCACGTACACGATTAAAGAATGTCGCAAGGAAAAGTGGATCACTTATATAGCAGCCTTTGACCTGCTCTTCGTAGAAATTATAAGCAATTTGGCTTTCGTACAAAAGTCATATGGAGAAAAGAATATTTTCTGCGCGCTACAGTAAATACGAATACGTGAAAGAGTTTTTGTAATTTTATTATGATAAAATTTGTTCATTCGAAACCAGTTAATAATGAAATAATTTAAAAAATTACATTTCTAAGAGATTTTTGTTGGAATATCGATGAAAGCAGTGAAAATCTAGATCTTTAATTTGCAAGACACCGAAAGGAATTTGAGAAAGGAGTCTTTCTTATACTCTAAATATAAAGTTTGCAAATTTTAGTCTTTTTAAATTTACACTTTTTTATATTTTAAATGTTATGTGCTTGCAAATCTTGATTTGATACACCAGCGTATACGTCAAATCTGTTTTAGCGTACGAAAATCTATAATAGTTACATATAATCTGAATTAGAATACAACTTGTTTAGATTTTCAAAGAAGATAGTATTCGATCCTCCAACGCTAAAGCATAAAAATGATTTCGCCGTGACTTTTAGAGCCTCAAATACATGAAAACCACACAGGTTTCAAACGTATAAAGACAACAGCGATATATTCCTTGCATTATTGAAAAAACAGCGCAACTGTGTTACTGCTCTCGCTGCAAACAAGAAAAACTGAAAATAGATAACTGTCGCAATTACAGTTTTTTCAATTGATGCTGTTGGGTGGAAAAATACAACTGATAATGTCGGTTGCGAAAATGCAACTGATAATGTTTGTTGCACAAATGTAACTGTAACGTTACCAGAAATGTTATTATTTCTCAATGCATACACCCAGTAATTCTAAACGCAAGAATATATAAACTTATATTTACACAAGTTACTCTGGTCTCGATCTAGTAAGTCAATCTTTTTTAATTCGATAGAGGAGACTAAGAATTATTAATTTTATTTTGATGTTGTCTTATTTTTCTACCAAATGAGGTTGTGAGAAATGTAAATGCATCAAGAATATTTTTTGTCTCGGTAACAGAAATCCTTTCTGAGGGCGTATGCTTGATTAGTGGTCTATATTGGAATTGTGTAATTACGATGTATATACAAGTCGCGTACGTACGTAGGCATTGCTGAACGAACATGAGATTCGAGGTGGGAACGAACGTGGCCTGCACTCCGGTCCTCTCGATACCACTCGGCGCGTTTGGTATCAGGGTATAAATTGGCTCGAGGCCGTTCGTGGGCTCGCCCGTGTAAAGCGCGATCGTATCGCCCGGTCGATACCTGGCGTGATTCCAATAAATCTCGATCTCCCGTATCACTCGATTCGACATTATGGGCGAGATAATCAGGCCGACGTGGGCGCGCTGGAAATCTGAAAACGAGAAACAGGTGTCTCGGCGAACAAGGCTCTCTGGCGCACGGCGAAAGATGCGATAACGGCTGGTGCAATAATTTCAATAATCCTCGTTAACATCCGAAAGCGATTACTGCGACACGATGACGCGCGGCGACATGATTGCGTAAGTCACAATAATCATGTTTTCTTAATCCTTTGCGGCCCAACAGTAAAATACACGTTTTAAAAAGACATTTATTATACATGCACTAATACTTAAAGATAATTGTCAATTATATTTCTTTTTAAATAAAACAAGTAATATCAATGAAATATTAGTCCATGCATCCACGTTTTGAAAAATAACGCGGATATTAATTTTATTTTGTTTGTATTTTATGTATCTTTTTCAAAGTTCATTGTATCTTTTTATCTTTATTTTTTGTTTTCTTTTGTATTTGTATCTTAATCAATTTTTCATCTGTTTTTTGTGTATTGTGCATCTTAATCAAAGTTCAAAATAGCGACGAAAAATTCAAAGAACACTCGTAGTGGTTTCACAGCGGAACCATTGGGACGCAATGGATTAAACGACCCTAGTAGCACAATATATTGACGCGATATTGAGAAATAATGTAAATCTAGTATTCCCAATATTGATCCAATACTGTAAGATGACTTTCTCTTGTTTAGCCAATATGTCTATGTGGACCAATATCTTATTACATTTTTAAATATTGGCCAATACACTTCCAATATAAATCCAATATTATATAATTATTATCGTGCAATATTCACATTTATCCCATGGCCAATATTGGATGAATGTTTAGCCGATGTTTAGCCAATGCGCTGTGCTACTAGGGAAAATATGTCAAACTTGATATTCATATTCGACAAAGCGGCACGAAAATACGACGATCGATTGAAACGTTTGCCGTTCGACGTTTGTAAAGTTTATCGCTACACCGCAAAACTTAAAACTCACCATCTCCCGTGTCCGGGCCACAAAATCTCGCAGTCGACACGCAGTCGGCGATCGTTAGCCAAGGGAGAAGGGCAGGTACAATTGTAAGTAGCTTCATCTTTGTGCACGAGTTAACCGCGGGAGGGTCGTAGCGAACAAAATCTATTCGCCTCCTCGAGGAGTTGACATTCTTCTCGGTGTCCCCTCAACCGTTTTAATTCTTCCTGCGAAGTCAACTGGCTACAAACCGCTGCAAAAGACGTCTTCACCTTCGGTCCAACCCGGTTTCTTGTGCAACTCTTTCACGGGCTTAAGAAATTATCACCGTCAGGAAGTCTCACGAAATATTTATAAATATACGACGATCGTTTCAAGTAAAAAAGACCACGTACGTTAACGATACATCTTATTATTTACGATGATAAAGAGAACGAACGGGTCGATTCTCGCATAAATTAAAAATATAATTTTCGTTCGCCTTTTCCGACAGAAAATAAGTCGCCTAACTTTGTAATTGAGAAAAGCTCTTATTCAACGATCTGTCAATCCTATTGTTACGTAAATCTCCAGGATGTGACTTTAAGAGGCGAGCACGCTTGTGCAATTAAAAAATTACGGAAGCTGCTCCAGATCGCGTAAAATCGCGATGGCTCATCCTCGGCAGCGACATGGCACGAGTTGGCAAGAGAGTTATATAAAACAATCGTCGGGTGAGAGCTATGGTATTCACTGACACTCGCTCGTTAATCGCGATGCTCGATAATCGAGGAATAGTCGATCGCGCGGGTCGCAGCTCCTCGAGGTTCCCTCGCGTTCGGTTTGATTTCGACGCGCCGCGCCGCGCCGGTACCGCGCTCTCCGTTGATAGATCGTAACTGATCGTACGTGCGGCCAAGTCAAGTTGTGCAAGTTCAAGAACGTGGCGTACGCGATGACGACAGAATCGTGAGACACATAACTGCCAAGGAAAACCATCCGCGTTGATTATGAATGCCGACCGTTTATCCCCTCATTCTGCTGCACGATCGCGCGTGCTTGTTTTTTTTCTTTACCGCGAGGTCACTCCACGTGTCTCGCTCGCGAGGCGGCGGCGGCGGCGGATCCCGTCGCTCCGTAAATTTTATTTAACGTCCATCGCGTTTCTTTTCGGCGCCTCTCCATCTGACAATAATCAAACGAAATGGGATTTCTCTCGAGACTTCTGTCCGAGGATTTTTTTCAACATCCTCGCGCGAGTTGATGGAACGAAAATTGCGTCCCCCTTTTAGTTATTCTTCAGTCGGAGAATCTGTCCGCGCCACGCGATTGATGCCGATCGAGATCGCTGAATCTCTGAATGGCGGCGGAGGAAGTTCTCGCCCCCTCCCCAGGAAATTAGCGCAGTGATATTTTCGCGTGCTGCCGACGCCAGGTCGGGGTCGAGCGACAAGAGGACCGGGTCGGGGGAGAGGAGGAGAGCCCGGGGGTGGAAAGGAAGGGGAACCAGAAGAAGAGATCTCTTACCACGAATTTATCGCGAAGACGTCGGTTGACTTCGCCGGTCGGGTCGTCCGTTCCTCCGGTTCTCCCGGCATCGGAGTGACGCGTAGTCGTTTCCGCGATAATCGGCGGCCGAGAACGCGCAAAAAAAGCCGCCGACTCGCAACGTTACCGCGTCGATGCGTGAAACTATGCGGCGCGATTCGGTATCACGCGAACTTCAGCGGCGGCGACGGCGGCGGCGGTGGCGACGGCGACAGCGGCGGCGACGGCGACGGCGGTGGCGGTGTTGGTGGCGGCGGTGGCAGCTCTCCACCACGCGCCGGCTTTTGCGTGGCACAGCAAAAATGTTTCTTTCTCGGAAGCAGGCAGCATGATGTACAAGCGGGGTGAATATTGTAGCGGTGGCATAATTAAAGGCCGCGCAAACGAGGCAAAAAAGGAAAAAAGGAGGGGGGGGGGGAGGAGACCCTGGCGAGGGGTAGCCGCTGATGTCAAAGGATCTCTCGACTCTCCTGAGAAGAAGAAACATAAGGAAGACACGCGAAAAGAGACGAAAGAGAGTAATAAGAATGGGAAGAAAGAAGGGGGAGGAGGGGGTGAAAAAGGAGACCGTAGAGTGGAAAGAGAGAAGCAAGAAGAGAGGACAGAAAAGGCCAAGAGAGGGAGCGAGAAAATAAATTACCGTCTATATGCATTTGCGACATAGTGCTGCGTGAGCTGTAATCTTATATTGTTCTACTTTCTATAGCGAACATATATTACACTTGCTATTATTAAAGCACGCTGAGAACAGCTGAGTCATGCTACTAGAAACAAAATCTTTTAACTGAGACTTTAACGCGCGTCTCCTTCTCTCTCTCTCTCTTTTCAAGTGAATACCTTATCGAATAAAAGTGTCTCTAACGGAGCGTGTAAAAGAAGGTGATTTAATTCCGCGAGTAAAGATTGTTAAATACGTGTTCTCTGCAAGACGTAGGTAACGTGTAACGATTGCCGTTCTGTTCCATTCAGAGGGTTATCAGTCCACGGTGTAACAACGGCTCGCTGTACACGTACACACAATATCGTAAGTGTTTTTCCACCAAGTGAGCCGCCGGTATGCGAGAGTCATTAAAACAAAAAGTGTTAAACAGACCTTGGAACGTGTTCTGCCCATAAATTTTGTGCTAATGAGAATACAAGAAGAGTATTTACGTTTTCTGTACTCGCGTGAATTATCCTCAAACGTGAACTAATCCGTAAGGCACACAATATCCTAAAACTGCGTCTCTTCTACGGGTTCTTTGGCTGATCTTTTCTTGAGACGAGACTGTCGGCGTCATTGTTTATCATTGCCTTTTTCTTGCATCATATATTTTTAGAATTATTTCGTATTTTTATACGTCGCAGATTAAAAATCCCTTATAACAGACCAGAAACTGCACCGAGGTCATTTATTTACAGTATCATTGGTTATTTTTTGCGTCATAAATTTATAATTATTTTATAATTATATATTTTTACATAGATATTTTTATATACGTACTTATAGACGTACAACATAGTTATTAGCCAAATAATGTAAATTTTTTTAACTGCCTGGCTTCCCGAAATTTAATTTGCGAAAAACTCATCTTTTTCAGTCGCGAAAATTGTTCGCTAAACCCATCGCTAAAAGGCTATTCTGCATATAGACAGGGTTGGGAAAGTTACTTTATAAAAGTATCTAGTTACAGTTACAGTTTCCTCGCTAAAAATGTAAGTAGTTACAGTTACAAGTTACCAATTCTGAAAAGTGCTGCGTTACGGTTACTCAAAAAATAACGAATCGTTACTTTGCAGTTGCTTTCCTGCAATGAAAATAAAAATATCAAATCTGCATTTTAATTGTAAAGCGTCGATAAAGGCGTTTATGCGCAAATGCAAGACCTAATGCGATCTGTGGAGGTTTAAAAAACATATAAAGCAACTCTTAATGTAACTATTAAATTAGTTACTGGTTATCGAAAAAATGTCACTGAGTTAAGTTACAGTTACAGATGGAGAGAAAGTAACGGAGTTAGATTTACCCCCCAAAAAAGGAACTGTAACTGTAACTTCGTTACTTCCCAAACCTGCATATAGATACCTACTCTCTAAAAGTCAATCAGTGCATTATCACTGGGAAAAATTATAAGTATACAGCATTGAATTATTCACTGCTCTACTTATAATTGTGACTCAGTGAATATTTACTGTTTCCAGCGGTACTGTTAGACTTTTAGAGAGCATACGTAAAGCATAATGTACAAGAAATTATCGAGAGGCTGTCACGGAAATGATCTTACGAGTCAATTGCGTAAATATATCCAACAGTCAAAGGAGAGATTAGAGACGTGCCCTGACGTAATAAAGATTAATGCGGAAGATGAAAGTGAAAGCGAAAAGTAAATATTACGCAACGTGTAAATGGATAAATTCTCCGTCTCACTGCAATTTTCAATCTTTTAAAATAACAATATGCGTTATTTGTTCGTTTTATCTCTTGATTTCCGAAAGTATCCAAATTCAAGAGAACAAAAAACTAAGCATTTTCAGACATTTGCTAACAGCTGATAAATGTGCAGATTTTCTTACTGCTTGTATTTAATATAAAACAGCAGCATTAATTGTACGAAATATGAATTCCCCAAACGAGTGTGGGCCTATTACCTCGTACTCCTTCGTTCGCAACCTTCAACTCTTCAATCAACCTTTTATAAAACCGTGACACACATGGGATGAGGGTTTCAATCCGGGACTCGTCGACTACTACTCGACCGCTTTCACACGGAGGCACGCGTCACCCAACACAAAGTAGTACTTAATATATAAAAATGTGCGCGAATATCATAAAGCCGAGAAATAATGCGAACGAAGCTTGCGAAGAACTTTTTGCAGCTAAATTAATCACGACTAGGAAATAACGATTGATATAACTTGGAAAAGGGAAAAAAACCATGCGTTACGTACCTGCCGATCGGCTTCGTTGAAGATCGCTGAAGTGTGTACGCTGGAGAAACATAGATAACCTTCGTTACGGAATATTTTCGCACGCGCACGTTTATTAGCTATATATAGAAAATGATCCCGACTCTTTTATCAGCGACTGTTAGTCTCCGATGCGAGCACGTTGAAAATAAAAGCGGGAACGGGGGCGTACGATGTACAATACCGCGTTTGCTCCGCTCGTATTGTGCTTACGTAAAAGAATCGCTCTGCGCAGAGAGAGAGCGTTATTCATTTCCGCTACCGCGATCATTGTCGCGTGATTACCGTACGGTAAAACCGTATTGCAGGATGCCGCGAAATAGCCGTGCCATCGGGAAACAATAGAAAAAAAATATAAATTCCACAAATGTTTACAGCGTAATAGAGCACACAGTCGGCGGTATCGAGGAATATAATATAAATAACTAATAACAATATTCTTCAATGTCGCCAGCAATAATTAGCAACGTCAGTGTTTTCTTCATCATCTCTGGCATTTTTAATATGAAAAATTTATTATATTTTCGCAATAAATTTTCTGTTATTATTAAAAATGCCAGATATGGTCAAGAAAACACTGACGTTGATAATATAACATTACGTAATTTCTTTTTCTCGCGGATATCACACGGGACGATCAAGAGCTCGACATAAATCCTTTCCTCCAGACGTTGAATTCAATATTCGCCAATGAGGTTTTTTTACTTTCCGCGAGTTCACGCTAGAGGAAAAGATTCATGATCGAGTCCCGGCATTTTGACGTCGTTACAAGGTTTAAAAAATCTTATTGACCCGCGGCAAACATGCACCGACTCGAGTTGCAACAAAGAGGACGATAGGATCAGGCAACACAATTAGATCCGATAAATTACTTTAATTGACGAGTATGCGGCGGTCGGAAATTAAAAATGATTCCTTCCGTTTCGTGAACAAATACGGTATCACGTCGATAAGCATCGACATTCTATTTCACGCTGTCGGTTCCGTCGAGGAACGTAAGAGACGAGAAGACTTAAAGGAAACGCCACGTGACATTCTTCGGGTTTTTCTCATCTTTCTTTATTTTACAAAACTGAAAAAAAGAAAACTTCTGCGAGAGTAACAAACTTTTGGCTTATGTGACTAGTTGTAATACTTAGCGGCAATACTAAATTAGTGCAGTGTAAGTATGTACATTTGTGTTTACAGTGTTCGGCTGCGAGAAACCACGCAGGCTGAGTTTACAGAGCGATTACAGCTTCGACGATAATTTATATCCTAGATACAAGACTCCGTTACGAAGTCGCTCCTACGGGATAAAAGAGGAAACGCCAATTTCTTATTTTCTTTTTATATATATCTTTCTTTCGCGCGGAGAGCGTCCAGCAAAGAGTTAATACAGCAAGGGAGGACAAAATGTACGCGAGTAAAATCGGTAAATCTCGTCTCGTCCTCGTAATTTCTCCGCCCGTATACGTCGGGATTAATTCTAGTCGCTAAAGGTATACAGAATGTAATAACAAGTTACGCGCGT